AGGTATTTTGTTGAAATAGTATTGTGTAACTACTTGCTAGCTTGTAGGATTTGCTGAAAAGTGTGCAGTCAGGGAAACTGGTGCACTCCTATGACTGCCTAAAGGATCTTTGTCCTTATTTACATGAGGTTGATGACAGAAAATCTTGGGGCAAATTTGGAAAGGTGAATATTGCTGTTACCTGTATTTATTAATCATGGTCTATAGTGTAAAGCATTATTATTTCTCTGAATAAGCATTGGATGATTGAGATTCTTAAGCTCTTGAAAGACCTTTCTGATTGATGCTAACCGATCTATTTCATTCTATCAGGCACAAAAAAATGACTGTGATAGAGGACTTTGCCTTCCCCCAAACCGTCATATTACACTTGATCATATATGGCATTGAAATCACAGATTTAGACATTCCTCCATGTTGTAGCTATTTTCTGATACTACCACCACAGCATCCACACCAATATTTCAGGGAGCAGAGAACCCACCACTTCTGCTACCATGTTCTCAATCTGTTCCTGGTTTTAGTTGCAGAAAGATGACATTAGCAAAAAGTCAACAATACAAATGCAGATGAAGCAGGAACTGTTGTGCCTTCATGGAAACTAAAGCCAAAATCATAAGCAAGCATCTCCTTGGAACCAAAATGGAAATGATGTGAACAATAATTCCAACAAGTCTCTTGATAAATGGGTACTAACTTAATGAGAAGCCATACTTGCAAAAAATTTCAAATCACACACATAACTCAATTCTATGTCAGTTTAACCACAAAAATTCATGTGCATTCAAAGATAGAGATATAATAATTGAAAACACTTGCCTTTCCAATGGGAAATAGGCATATGATTTAAATCAGTTTGCTAAATTTCATCAGCTTTCTATTTGAAATTTGGAAATTTGTTGCATTTGATTTGTGAAACTCCATGAATTCATGCCCCACATGGGTTAGAACAACTTTGGAATAACAAAATACTATAATATGTAAATATTTAGTGAAGAGTATTATAGAATACTCATTTAGAAAATAGATATTTAGGATTTCTTGTTTGAATGTAGAACATATTTAATATAGTCACATGGGAATGCTGGGATCACCATTTTGTCTTCATCTGCTTTGGTACTTTATGCAGATAAATAAAATTTTACAATTGATAGAAAAGAGGGAAAGTTGAACTTTATTTAGAATCTATGAAAAGCCTGTAGGCTCTTCAAGGAAGGCTTATCAGGAGACTGCACCAAAGACAGTTTGGAAAGGAAAAATGCATTTTCCTATTAAGGAGTTGTCTCTCATTCTATGATCATTTTGTTCATCTCTGCTGTAGTTATCGGATATCTAGAATATCAGGAGGCCCAGGAGCAAGGCAGAATGCCTCAATCTTGATATTTGAACTAAGCAAAGATTAGTAGTCAAAGTAAGACTACAACTGAACTTGATGAAACTCACATTGATGTTTCTCCTTAAAGAAAAAGAATCAATGTACAAAAATGTGCATCTGTTCTAAGAAAAGCCAAGTATATCCTCTTTCCAGAGATATCCAAGCATCCCTTTTAGGGTGCTCCTTGTTACCTAGCTTCTCTGGGGCTAAGGACTGTAGCAGAGCCTTGCATATATTCTCAAAATTCCATATGATATCCTCATCAGGATCTGTGCCTAGTTCAAAAAATCTGAGTCATAGCTCTCAAGCATCCCTCTGCACAGAGGAACTGCTTAAGGTATTTTAGTTAAACTCAGTCCTGATTCCATTGCAGAAATACTGAATCACTTTGTCTCATATCCACGAAATTCTTGACATAATTGGTCCTCTGAGGTAAAATAGGAAGCTTCATGACAACCTGAAAGGATTTTTTCTCTATTGTGTAGACTTTTGTGAATGGGACACTGTTCTTTTGATAGTAGTAACTGGCAGTGTCTTCAGGCTTCTTCTGACTGTGAGAGACTAAGTGATTTTAAACCTACTGTAACTGAAGTGAGATTTGACTCCAGACGTAAGATTGAATGTAGAAATGAGAAACGTAGGATATGTGCTCTGCTTCTAAAGGTTCCATTCTGCAGGAATGCCTTTAGAGCTGAACCTGCATGTGATGACAACCCTTGTTACTTCAGAAGCAGTCAGGCAAGCTAGAGACTTGGTGAGGACAGTTTATTCATTCAAAATATAGAGGAAAGATGAAAAGAGATAGAAGTTACTAAAAAAAGAGATTCCAGAATATCCTCATATTACATACATTGTAAAGAAGATAAAGATGACAACAAAGAAAAAGCAGAGAACAAGGAGAAACAAAAGGATAGAAAGAAAAAAAATGGGGAATATGGAAGCCAGGTTCTAGCACATTTTAAAGGAGGAAAGGGGGATGTTAAAGAAGAAATAGAAGAGGAGAAGGAGGAGGA